CCCTATAACAGAACCCGCATATGTACTCTTGCGTTTCCTTCTAAGAATTTTTATTAGCTTACACGGCATAAGACTAGATGTGGACGCATTGGACCAATGTTGGAATTCATGATATAACGGATGGTGACTTAAAACTGATTTGAAAGAAATATTTTTTAAATCTTCGTTTTTATTCCAATTAACTTTGAGCGAATTCCGAAAGGCCCATTGCCCCACAAAAAATAATTTTTAAGGAAAAAATCAAATTTTATTACAAAAATTTTTCTGATAAACTTTCTGGCTCATTACTAGAAAAACATTGTTTTTTTGTCAAGGATTTGAAACTTATTTTACTGAATGGGCTCTGAAATTCTCCCCGTTGTCAAAAAAGTTTTTCTGATTTCAACCGAGCAAATTGCATATTGCCTCATTTGGACATATGCGTTGGTAAGCATATAAAAACTAATTTCAACAAATAAACGTACTCTGCTGGTTGTGCATCTAAATATGTATGTACACATATAATTACAAAATATTGTATGGATACACATACATACATATGTATACATGTATGTATGCAGTAGAGCTCGGGCAATTCGGTTAATCGATTAACCGAATTATTCGAATCTGACTGAAGTCGACTACTGTTAATCGGTTAGCAATATTCGAGTAGTCGAAAGCTGTCGACTATTCGGATAACCGTTCACTTTAGATTATTCGGTTAACCGTTCATTTTCGGTTAATCGAATATTTTAAGTTCGAGTTTTTTTGCATTTACAGATACATATACATATATGAAAAGTCTTGTTACATTCGTAGTACATATATAAGATGGCATGTGCAAAATTAAGGCAAACTTTTTTTGCAAGAATGTGCGCTAATTATTGAAATGTTATTGCGAAATATTTTAGAGACAATGGCTAAAGCAATACCTACCTCTCATTTTCGCGATTTTTGTTATGGATTTTTGTTAAATGGTTGTTCAGTGAGGATGTAGAGGAGGTGTGGCACAAAACTGCACCACATATGGAACATGTTACTTCCTTTTCGTCCTCTGTTTTTTGCGAAAAAATCCCAAACCAAGCTCCTTTTGCGTCCGCTCATATTTTGTATCTGAATATACATACATATGTGTGCTGTATGTATATATTTAAATAAATTTTTTTTCATTTGTCAAAGAAATTTCAATGAAAGTTCGGTTGCTGAAATTCGATTTGCTACAATGCTCGAGTAGTCGAAGCAAAGCAACTATTCGAATAATCGAAGGCGGGCGACTATTCGAATACCATTAACCGACTAATAAGCATGCGAACGGTTACGAATCGAATAATCGGTTAACCGATTAGTCGAATAGTCGGATAATTTTACGAGCCCTAGTATGTAGTATAAACCTATGAATTTCTATGCGTGGATGTAGTTCAGCAAGGCCATGCATATTATTGTTTCTGCCAATGAATTTTAAGCAATAACAGATAATAGACCAATAATAAACGGAAAATTAGTTTATATTCGGTTTACCACAAAACCATTGTGCGCTAGCAACTCATTTTTGTTTTGATAATTACCATATGAAATATTTCAATTATTTTCTAGGAAGTTACTTCAACATCAAATAAATGGCAATTGGTGGTAATATGCTGAAATACATGCATATCTACATACCTACATGCATGCATAGATGCATACATAGAAAAGTGTAAAATTGTTTAAATCGGTAGCATTTTCATATGGCTTATATAATAATAAGCAGCCCAGCGGAGCATTTGGGTTACAGAAAATGGGCACGGATAAGAAAAATCATGATAAAAACATTACAAGGTAAAATCATTGAGAGGCAGTCTGCCGTTTGCCAGCAATATAATTTTAAAATTCGAACTCAAGCTCACACACACATTCTCCTTTTTAATCTCAAACAACAACAATTGTAAACAATTTCGTTTTTTTATTTTCAATTTTATATGATTTTAAAATCTTTGCAAACGTCGTCAGAAAAAAATCATGGCCGACGAATCGAGAGAATGATTTTACCTTCTAATGTTTTTATCATGAGAAATATATTGATCAAATTTTGATAAGACTTTATGGAAATATTAAATACCGTATTACTGCAGCCTATTAAGGCTTTTTAGATTTAATTAAATTCCAGTGATTATTAAGCCGGTTAAATGGTTAATTATGGATAAGTAATGTATGCACTTTTCAGTTCAGCATGTCGTATACGCAACATTTTCATAAAACTTTCTTAATCCAGCTAAAGTGCGTTATATCCACTCACTACATGTATCTACTAACCTAACGTAGTCGCTATCAGCTAATTTCTAGTAGACAGAATAATTTCTCCTTCATCGCGATTCCCATTGTCGTCATTGCGAAGGACTGTACTTAAGCAGGTTTGAAAAAATTTCGCTATTCAAAGGTCCTAACTCATTTTCTTTTCAAATATAGCACTGTTGAAATGTCTGCCGAGTAATCACTAAAAACTCATTGGTTTTAAAATTAATTTAATATAGCATAAAATTAATTATATTCTTCGACAAAACAGTCTTCGAAAAAAAAATTCGCAGTAAAAGGAGATCATTTCCTATGGAGTTTTTTCATCACTCCATACAGAAACCAAAATGTTAGATAGGGCCTTTCTATATTAAGGTAACGATATGTGTGTTCGACGATTTTCTTCATATGGAAGAAAATGAGCGATAGCTTTAACGGTAAGCCCTAGCTACTTCAAACTTGCACTTTACTATACTAAAATTTAAAAGGCTACAAGGCATTTTTATTTATTGGTTATATTTAATATTTATTTTTATAAAAAATATGTAGTGGAAAAAAATTGTTTCATCAAAAATTCTTATTTTAGCGAGCGCCAACTGAAAATCCTGAAATTTTGACATATTTTTTCGTGACCGACAAGGAAATTTTCTTATAGGACCGCAAAAAAATGCAACCTTTATTTGGCGCAGTCTAACTTACGAGCTAAAAAATTAAAGGCAGACTTGACGATAGACTTTATATTACAATGAATGGATGACCCACAGTTTTTCAAGCCGAGATGGTAACAATCTCCACCTTCACTAAAAAAAAAAACGTTTACAGAATGTTTGAAAGACGCTTTTATGTATACATTTATGATTTTCATCTTCATCTCTGCAGGGCTAAGCCACGATTCGAAAACCATTTCATTGCTGCCTCATTTTTGAAGTGAAGCTTCTTTAGCGTCGGTTGGTTTGTTGGGAGTAAATTGGCAAATTCAACGGAAATTGCACACAGAAATGGTGTAACGGAAATGGTGCAACGGAAATGGTGCAATGGAAATGGTGCAACGCAAATGGTTGGGGCTGAAACAAGTGCTTCTTGTATGTATGTATGTGGTATTAATTTAACAAAAATTTGCTAATAAAAGATTAAAGAATAACACTTAGAAAAAGACCAATACAGGAATGAAAGTAAAGGTGACTGCGTACATAGATAAAGAAAAGGATAAAGGCAAAGGTAAAAATAAAAACGAAAACAAAGATGCGTAAAGATAAAGGCAAAAATGAAGACCACGGTAAATTTAAACACTTTACTTATACATATATGTACATAAGGGCAAAGGTGAAGGAAAATATGTAGATGAAGAAAATGATAAACATAAAGGTAAAGACAAAGAGGAGGATGCGGATACTGATAAAAGTAAAGACGAAGATAGTGGAAGAAAGATTAAAATAAAGGTAATTAAAGAGGAAAGGATAGGGAGAGAGAAAGAGAGACTCAATCTGGGAACTATTTTGGAATTTTTGGAAATTTTCGGGATTCTCGAGACTTATCGATAAAATAATCGATATTTTTATCGGGTTTGTTATCGATATTTTTATCGATTGTGCTATCGAAATTTCTATCGATATTGTTATCAAAATTTACCGATTTTGTTATCGATACTTATCGAGTTTGTTATCGAAATTTATCGATTTGGTTATCGAAATTTATCGATTTTGCTATCGATATTTACCGATATCGACATCCATCGATTTTGTTATCGATATTTATTGATTTTGTTATCGATATTTATCGATTTTGTTGTCGACATTAATCGATATTTATGGATTTTGTTATCGGTATTTTTCGATTTTCTAATCGATGTTGCTACCAAAGGAATTACCGATGTTGCTATTGAAATTTTTATCGAATTTGTCATCGATTTTGTTATCGATGTTTCTATCGGTTTTGTTATCGATGTTTTGTTGGACGTTGTTATCGATTTTGTTATCGATAGAGTATAAAGATAAAAATGAAGATAATGGAAAAACAAAATAACATGAATGTTATTTAACCGAACAGGGGTAGAGGTAGGGATCTAGATAAAAAAAAAGATAAAAATATAACCTTAAGCAAAAGCAGATGTGTTCTGAGACAAAATAGATAAGTAACGTAAGTTTCACTTTTCTAGTGTGGCCCAGGCGCACTTTTTTTTTTTCTAACCGCACTCTTCCTGGCATCATGCCAAACCTCTTCAGGTATTTCTGCCTCTCTTAATTTTCTCTTAAAAAGTCTGTGTTATCTTCTTTTTCCCGGTATCATTCAATTGCCGTCCACCTGGTGCTCTCGTCAAACCAGTTTTTTCTGCGAGGTTGTATTGGGATATGGAATCCCACTGCTCATTTATATCTACATAGGCGGTGAGGTGTTACAGTTTTGTTGTTGTGACAGCAACTTTGCGCCGTCGAACTTTCACCACATTGCCATAAATTAGTAGCGCATAAATCCTGGATTGCAGCTGATACCAGTTCAATCTCATCATACAACGATTCAATATCTAACCTCAATTTTATTTAAAAAAAACAAAAAAATATTTCCCAAAAAATTTTTTCGAAACCACCATTTTCCATTTATCAGGCATTTAAAGCACTTTGAAAACTCATTTCATTTTATTTATTATGCTGTATTAATAGGTAAAAATATGCAAAGCCTAAAATGTTGTACCACAACCAACAACAAACATTTTCCATTCAACAAACTAAAACATTCGGGCAATTAAATTACAGGACTAAGCGCTTAACTAAATTGCTATTTGAAGAGAGTGTATTGGCGATGGTGGTTGACGACAGCAACCACACGCGCAATAAGAAAAAAGCTAGTGAATGTGAAATTGAAAACAGCGCTCAGCGTTTGGGCTGAAATTGCATTCACAATACAAACAGACAGGCAGCGGGTTGCACCAGCGTTATAGTGACAAATATCAACAAAATCTAGATGCAAGTGCCTTATATACGAGTATGTATGTATGTATGTACGTATATACACAATTTATATGTGTTTTCATTAGTTTTGCCTTTTGTGTGTCTGTATGTATGTACATACATACATATGTAGCAGTGGTTGTACGCAAAGGCGTTGTAGCTACAATGTCAGGCGCATAAATCAACGTAATGGCTACAAATAGCGCCGTCGACAAAAGCCAACTAAGAATAACAGCATCAGCAACAACAACAACAACTGCACAAACTATTATTTAGTAAAGAAAAAAAAAAAACAAATGCAACTGCAACTGCTGTTATTGCACGCTAGTTTGCCAGCCAAAGTCAACACAAGCGCAGGCAACTAAACGCAAATGGACAGGGAAACTCGCTCAACTCAACTGAGCCTCAGGGTTGCGTATACGCCATGGCGTGCGCGCAAAAGCTAAGCACAACCAAACCAATGGCAATTAGAGAGTTGTTGCAGCTCGAAATTTCGGCGATAAAGCGTACAAGGCCTGCATAAATGGGTTTTAAAGAGAGAGTTGCAGGGAAATGAGGGAGTAGGCAAGAGGCAGTGGCCTCATACATACGCGTTTGTAAAACTATTTAAGCATACAATAGCACGTACAGCTCGTATCAGGTCATTTCAAATGCGCATTTCATTTGTTTACCACCACAAATGATACACAAACACACATACAAATATACGCAACAAATAAACACAGTTGGCTGGCTGACTGGTTGGCTGGCTGGCTGGCTGGCTGCCTGCCTGCAACGGGCACCTTTGAAATGTTCAGTCAACTTTGTGCCGGAAGGATACATTGACGCAAATGGAGCGAACAAAGTGGCCTGCTGATAATCGCACAACAAACTCGCACACACACTTATACAAGCGCACGTAAACATGCATTTGCATACGTCCATTGAAATTGCGAACGCGCACAGCACTCAGATTTATTTTTCTTTAATTAACGGGGCTATTTACGTAGTATTTGTGATTTGTATTCGCTGCTAATTACACACGCGCGCCGAGTAACCAGCTGAAGAAATTAGAGCGCATAGCAAACAAAAATATTTGCTAATTAATCGCTAAATATTAGCACTTAATCAAACTTAAAAATAAATTTTATGTATTTTTGCTAATTTTCTTTTATTGAACTATAACTCAACTCCGCCCACGCTAGTCGCTATTCAATAGTTTCTCAAATGATTGCATAATTTTGTTTGCGCAATGAGCATATACATATCTACATATTGTATATGTATATGTATCTATGTATGTGTTTTTTTTTTTTTTTGTTTGCATGTGTTTATATTTAAATAAACGCTTATTTAATTGCAACCGTTGGGGTTGTTTGCATTTCATTTGGCATGAATTGAATTAGTGCTGGCAATTAATTAATTGTATTAACATTTACGTATTCACGCACATGCATATGCTAACGCTCACGCTCACGCATACACAAGCACTGCGCTGCAGCTAAATAAAAGGATAAACCCATGCCTACAGCAAACTGTGTCAAGTGTTCGCCGCCACTCGTTCGCTTTATGTATGTAAGTAGGCTGCAGAGATTTTTCGCGGCCATTTTAATCTCTTTGCATTCAATATTTAACGCATGGTGATTAATATTAATTTTTATTTAACTCACAGTTCAATGGTCTCCAATGGCTGAAATGTGTACTATGGTAAAATAGTGGGTTGACTTTCATGCCTTTTGTGTGGTTTATGCGAAATGTATACTTACTTAACTAATACATTAATAATTGTGCTTATTTTTATATGTATTTAGTTAATTCATATACTAAAGTGGTTTTGCGGTTGGAAATTATTTATCAATTTATTTAAATTGCGTTAGCACACCACAATTCATAATAATAAATAGGCAACGATTAATTTTTGTAACGCATTTTTTTTATACTTATAAATTGATTCGAGATTTCGCAATAGGCGGAAAAATTCGAAATGCAGGATCCAGTAAGGCGTCTGGTAAATTACCGACTTTTAATTAGAATTCTTAGAAAGATTTTGAGTATGTAGTTTTATAGCCCAGGCAATTTTAGTGTCACAAAGTGCATGTTTGAAGTAGCTAGAACTTGCTGTTGATTTTTGAGAATTTTTTTTATTGACAGTGCCAGTTATTTTCTTTCAATACGAAGTATGTTCGATGATATGAAGAAAATGAGCAACACCTTCAAAAAAAAAAAAGTAAGTGCGCCTGGGCCACACTGGAGAAGTGAAACTCACGTTACATACATATTGCGTTTTTGTCTCATAACCAACATACATACATTCATATGTACATACATATGTACATACATCTGCCTTTGGTTAAGGTTTTATTTTTCGTCTTTTTTCTATTTAGATCCCTACTCCTCCACCCCTATTCGTTCTAATTACATTTATGTAATTCTCTTTTCCTTTATCTTCATCTTTAACTTTATACTCTATCGATAACAAAATCGATAGTAACATCCAATAAAAAATCGATGCAAAATTTCGATAGCAAAATGGTTAATAATATTGGCAGCAAAATCTATTAGAAACTCGATAAAAATATCGATAAAAATATCCATAACAAAATCGATAAAAATATCCATAAGCAAATCTTTAAAAATATCTATAAGGAAATCGATAAAAAATATCCATACCAAAATCGATAAATATCGATAACAAAATCGATAAATATCGTTAACAAAATCGTTAAATACCGATAACAAAATCCATAAAAATATCGATAAAAAGATATCGTTAACAAAATAGTTAAGAATATCGATTACAAAATCGATAACAAAATCGATTATTATATCGACAATTTCCGAAAATATCGATAAGTAAACTGATAACAATATCGATAAAAATATCCATAACAAAATCGATAAATATCGATAACAAAATGGATAAAAATATCCATAGCAATATCGATAAATATCGATTAACAAAACCGATGACAAAATCGATAAACATCGACAAATATCGATAACAAAATTGATAAAAAAATATCGCTAACAAAATAGATAAAAATATCGATTACAAAATCGATAAAAATATCGATAACAAAACCGATAAAAATATCGATTATTCTATCGATAAGTCCCGAGAAACCCGAAAATCTCTAACATCCCACAATAGTTCCCACATTGAGGCTCTGTGTCTCTCTCTATAGCCTTTCCTCTTACCTTTATTTTAATCTTTCTTTCCCTATCTTCTTCTTTACTTTTATCGGTATCCTCATCTCTACTATGTGCAATTTCCGTTGAATTTGCCAATTTACTCCCAACTAACCAACCGCCGCTAAAGAAGTTTTACTTAAAAAAAAATAACAGAAATCAACCGTAAGTCCCAGCTTCGTTAAACTTGCATTTTATATATTGAAATTTTTACATGGAGGTGAAGCTAATATAAGCGTGTTAAAAAAAAAAAAACATATATAAGGAGCAGAAATGAGCATCTGAGTTCTATTTTATTCTATAGCTAATACTTTTTACGTAAACTCCAATAGATTTAAAGGCAGCATCCAACAGTGTGTTGTTACTGTTGCATTTAACAACTCAAATTTTGTTTAAAAATAAACGAAAAAATACCCTTAAATTTTTATTTCTTAAAAATTCCTATAACAGTATTTTTTTCAAAAATTTTGTAACGTATTTTACTAACCTTCGGTTGTAGAATCCATTTGGTTTCCTATTCTCTAACTACTAAAATACGTTAATAACTTTTCGCTTTTTATTACAGTAATGTTGTGCTTGGGAGAAGGTCACACTAGAAATGAATATAAAGAGAAGACTTAAGGTATAGGTCGCTACAGTGAACAGTTTTCGCTTCTTTCGCTTCGTCAAAAAAGGCCTATCTAGAAGCTTTGTTTTCTCGAATTTTGGCCGCACTTTTGGAATTCGGCCGCACTGTGCGACGACTTCAGCTAAATCTAGTTGGTTGCCAAAATCTCAAAATACCCTTTATTTACGGTGTCTTTAATATGGAAAAACCCTTCAGTATACATACATATATGTATGTGTATATTCCTTTGCGTTCTTCCGATATCAATTTTTCATACAAAACCTTTTCTTAAACGTATTTTCCGTCCACGTCTCTGCTTAATGAGATATTAATATCCCAAATAATATTATAGCGCGCTTATGACTTCACATACATATATGTGTAGTATGTAGATGTGTCTACAAATACGTGTCGACCATTATGTAAACTACCACAACAAACATATTGCTATGACATTAACTTAATAGCTGTAAAACATGTGTTCACATTCGTTTCTTACAAGCCAAGCACCATCAGTTAGGACTTTATTTAGCTGTATTGCATATGTTAGTGTTAAACAAAGTAGTTAAGAGTTTTACAATTTCTAGCATACCATCAGGCGTTCAAGGCGATAGAAAACTGTTGGAGAAGAAAATGGTGGAGGGTATATGAATAGCCACAAATGTAGGTGGATAAATGGATAAGGGTGAAAACAAAGTTGCTAGAAAAGAAATTTTGAAAGTGTTCAAAAAAGTAGGAAAGTTAAGTACGAATACAGATAAGACAAATGAAAGCTTAAGTGACTAAAATAAGTAAAACACAACCTCAATACGGCAGCTTTTTTGTATGCATAAAAGTGAATATTTCTCCATCATTTGCTAGAATGAAATGTTACAAGAGTTGCGTAAACAATAGCGGTAGTTTGTAAATGTACATGTAGAGATATACACACAAAGTTATATATGTGCATACATATGTATGTATGTACGAGTATTACGTAAACACATACATATGTAAGTTTTAACAACAAAATGGATTTTGACAAGGTTACGTATGTACATACATACATATGTCTGGATATTCAAGCAAAAGCAACAAGAGTTCTCTGGTGACTCAGAATTTTCTTATTCTACTTGCTTATACATATACGAGTACTAATAACCCTGTAACCCTGTAAACATTCG